ACCAGTGTCGGTGTCGGCGTACCGCTGGCGCTCAAGGCGCGGCGCACGGCCGGCCTGACCGAGCGGCTGGAGATGGCGAACGTGCTGCTACAGCAGGTGCCGCTCATCGACGGGTGAGTGGTGACGTCATCAGGGGGCCAGTGGACGGGCGAGTGACGTCATCTGGGGCTGGTAGACGGGCGAGTGACGCCTTCTGGGGCTGGTGGACGGGTAAGCGTTGTCATTATCAGAGACTGGTGAACGGGCGAGTTGCGTTATTGTCTATGATTGGTGAACACAAATAACGTCAAATAACGTCAGGAATATGTGCAACTGATCACCTGTCCGTTACTTGTCGCATAGAGATGGAGAATAACAGACTCCTTGAGAGAAAAGGAAAGAGCGACGATGTTCATGCATGGTCTTTCCTCGGATTTTGCACTGATGTGTTGTCTCATCATGTGGTGGGATTTTTTATCCCACTCTAACTTGGTTTCTGGACCACGTAGCTACAAGTAACACCAAGCTTTCGAAAGGTAATTTCAATCATGAAGTTCGTCGAGTCGATCTTTTCTTTAAGTTTAAAGAGAAAAAATTAACACCCGCCAGAAATCTGTCCAGAGTCAGACCAATCAACATGTAGGCATAGCGGGCGGGTCGGTCATCCATCCTTCCGCGCGGATCAATACCCTGGGGGACGGGACGAGAGGTCAGTGGCACCACAGGGGTCACCAGCGGTGGGTGGGGCCGACTGAGCGATCGTCACAGAGGCTGGCAATCGGACCCCCGCGGTGGCATCGAAAGCTCCTTAGCATGACAAACTGCCCGGGTGGTGATGGGATGCTGTGCTGTCTCCTTGCTACACTGCGACAGATTGTCGCTCAAATCGGCTTGTTGTAGAATGCAGCTATGCATTCAATGGAAGATGCTCACCAGGGTATCAGAACAATGATTGATTCATGGGATTGTTCTTTCAAATGTCCTGCTTCTATCACATTCGATTTGAATATCATACCTCATCCATGAGGAGATAACTGTCCAAATGTTTGAGTGGCTGGCTGCAGCCCAGGTTGACACGCGAAGTGGAGCTTATTGCAGATGACATCCCGAACCCATACCTGCTGATGTGATCTTTCCCCGCCTGGCTTCCCGGAGTAAATTAGTAAAACTGGAAAGTCAACAAAACACAGCAAGAAGACAAGAATGCGCAGGCCTCTCTCGATAGCTGCAATAATGGCAAGTTTTATTGGTACTTCGCCAGAACGGTGTGTTTTCCCTCAGCATCTAACCCATTCGCACCGAATTTCAAACGAACGCCTTATTCAATAAGTACAAAGCCGAGGCAGCTTTTGACGCGCTGGTACAGTACCCTCATCATAAAGTGGCGCACTGTGATGAGAGGGGCATCTGGCTAATCGTAACGTAGCTTGGCGCACAGATGTGGTATCTGGCGCTCATGGGACGCTATCTGGCGCTCATGCGGCGGTATCTGGCGCGGCGCTGTGCCCCGAGTTGGCCATCAATCAGCTGTGTGTCGGCTGCGCCGGCCGGCGCGTCAGACCAAGATCAAGCACCCCCTGAGCCGCGTTGGTGGGATCCTTGGGAGGCTGCTACGGGAGCGAGGTTATGCTAAAAAGACAGAAAAAGACTGGGAAGGTGCTGCATAAATGGGAAAAGCTAGTGCTCGGTGTCAGAACAAGAATGGATGCATAATGCAAATAAAGGGATGGGAGAATAGCTAGCACCGCCTGGCTCTACGCTGCAATGAGTCGGCAGTTGAGTAGACCGAGCTCGCGAACGAATGACCTGCCCAGCTAGCAATCAATCACTCGCTGTGAAAACCTCCAGTTTTGGCCATTTTTTCTCGGATCGATCGAGCTAAGCCGGGCGTCGCTCGGCTCTAAGTAGCGCATTTGTGACATTTCCGGCGCTGCTGGTCTGTCTCTGTCTGTCTGTCTGTCTCTGTCTGTCTCTGTCTGTCTGTCTGTTTGTTTGTTTGTCAACTCTGTCTGTCTGCTGGCTAGTCTGTCTGTCTACTGGTTTGTCTGTCTGTTGGTCGGTCTATCTGCACGGCTGGTCTACGATGGTGTCTGTCTGCACTCTGTAATGCTGATCTGTCTGCACTGCCTCCTGCCTTCGTGGTGGGCACGAGCACCAGGACCGTGCGCGCGCCCGAGAGGAGCGTCCAGCCAGCAGTCCGGTGGGCGGCGCGGCGGCGCCGGATGAGGTCATTAACGAGCGCTTCACTCAGATAGAAGGTCACCGTCTCATGCCAGTAATGCAGGAGAATGGCTCCGAAACGGGAGGCCAAATGTCAGATAGACCCTTTTGACTCTGCTTTATTTGGGCATAAACGCGACTTGGAATGCAGTCAAAAATGAAATGTTCTACAACAGAAAGTGCATTTGATCTTGCTACTATCAGACAGTATAATTTTGACGGCTGTCCATGTTTTGAACTTTACTGTATTGCTTCTAAATATTCACTATGTAAGTCTGGTCGCGTTGACAACAGACTTAGTCCACATACTTATTGCGACTCTGCATCCTGATCCGGCCAAAGTCAGAGAAACTCCCACTTATCACAGGCGCGTTGGCGTGACACTTCCTTTGAATCCGAATGGCAAATCCCAGAGACGATTGCTCATTTCAGCTCAGACAAGCTGGAAAACAATTAATGGGCAATGGGCATAAGCCAGGTGCAGTAGGTGATCGCTCATACAAAAAGGATAGCATGGTGCATTTGAGAAGGGTATGCCTGCTACCTGCCTCTTTACGGAATGACATGAGGCCTTCCCTAGAGTTTTTATTGCGCTGGTGCCTGGTTGTTTCTCACCCGAAGAAAGTCTTTTCAAACATTATATCGCACAAGCATGCAAATATTATAACAAAATGACCAAAAACTCTAGCGGTCGATGAGTGCTCAATACAAATTCTCATCAACCAGCCCTGGCAGTCGCCGGTATGCACGACAGCTGAGTCGGGGGCGACCCGTGTCGCTCGCCGTCGACCCGTGCCGCTCGCCGCCGGCCCGTGTCGCTCGCCGCCGGCCCGTGTCGCTCGCTGTCGGCCCGTGTCGCTCGCTGTCGACCCGCGCCCCCGGTCCCGCGGGACGGACTCCGATCAGCAGTAATTGGGCGTTCATTTGTCCACCGCGCCACCGGCTGGCCATGACAACGCGAATATGATGCCGACTGGGGTAAACAATGAGCCCAGACAGCTGCCGACGTATATCATGCTGTGGCCCAGCCCGTGTCGGCAAATAGCGGGGAAACGATATTTGGGTTGCTGCTGGTTGGGAGCAAGATGTGACGGAGAGTGTGCGTGCTCTGTGCCAATTATCGTCACAAGAAAGTATTGCAGAAGGGAAATATGGAGAACATCACTACGTGTCGGGTCGCGGCCGGCCGGCCGCGGACCATTTTCAGAAGTGGCGGGCAGACCGTGCGTCGAGTACTTGCTTTCTCGCGCGGCGGTACTGGGGTTCACTAGCATTGTTTAAAATATTTTCATTCGCCATGAACTTGAAATTATACACTGTAATTAACGATCATTTGTCAATTATTACAAGTTCTTCAAAAATTTTCTTTGAAAGCAAATGATTTCCTTTCACTCAATAATTGTCTTGTCCACCACTACAACCGCCACCCAGCCGCCATCCATTGGAAGAGATAGGCTCTGCGGCACAAAGTGTCGTTTTAAACTGGACTGGGAACCAATGTGTGATGACATTTCGAGCTAAATTTATGCTCATTGTGTACCTAGAAGCATTGGGAACAACGCTCTGACTGTACATTTTTAGATTTTTGCCTCTAAATGAAAATATTTACAATCAAGTACTTTGCGAGCGCAGTTTAGGAGCTCCCGTAATGTTAAAGTCCTATCTCCTACAAGTATGTAAATACTGCTCTAGGGCATAGGCGTAGGAACCGGGGGGGCCAGGGGGGCCACGGCCACCCCACCATTTTGGAGTGGGGGGCCAGTAATGTGTGTGGCCCCCCCCCCCACTTTTGAGAGCACTCCAATGTCTGAGATTCGCTCTTTACTTTAAACACGATTCAACCAACTAAACACAAAAAGATGGGCCACGGTGCCGTTTCTGTCACGGATAATCTGTGCTTTGCAGGTAGAATTAACACCGTCTAAAACATGCAGCAGTTTAGCGATTTAGCGCGTAAATTTTCAAATTCAGCGCAGAAGAGACATATCTGATATGTTTATTGCGCCAACCGGTTTCGTTTTGTGGATCTGGTCAAGGCACTAAGATGAAGATCTGGTTTGAGTCAGGTAGAATTTAGAAATGAGATGGATATAAGAAGTTTTTTTGCGAAAAAGGTGGGTGTGTATCTGGTGAATATACATATTGCATGATTAATGCGACCTTGACATGGGTGGAGAATTATGTAAATCCCAGGGTTGCCTTTTCTGGACGGACCTATGCACCTACCCTACCTACAATTTCCCCAATTTCATTCAAAATTAGCTACAAATGAAAGGTTGCCTTTTGTTCATGGGTACCTTTGGAAATAAGAGTGTGTTTAAGAGAGTGTGATAAGAGAGTGTGAAATAAGTGTGTGGAAATAAGAGTTTTTCGTCAATAACTAGGTACCGATCAAATTGAGCTAGCGAGTCGAGAAAGCCACCTATGGACTCAAGAAGACCTGCCGAATCGAATGATATGCGACATGACCTCCTTCGACCAATTTCGTGACCTGGGGACGCCGACCTGACCGTGACCCGAGGTCAACACCCTAAGTTTACCTCACCCAAACAAAAAGTATATCATTCGACGCGCCTGAGAGAGGCGAACACGATGCTGGCAAAATCGCGGCTCTGCGGCCATTTTTTGCGAAGTTATTCACCAAAAACGGAACCGTGCCTTGAGGCACTTGACCTGACCTCAGAGGTCACCGGTTTTTGTTTGTTTTGTTGGGTTAGGCCCTTTCAGTCCAGTCCAATGAGACCATTTCAGAGTCGGAAGGATGATAGGATATACATAGGGGGAGACATTGGTCTGGGCAGGCACCCTAGTGAGTCGCCGGGGCTGAGCCCGTCCAGAGGACAGGCCACCCAGCCCCAAGGCACTCACTGCACCCGGCTACGGGGTGCGCTCCCTCGGGAGCAGCGGTGCCGCTCCAAGGGAGCAGCCCGCATGAGATAAAGTTGCCTGTCCAGCCCGGAGGGGGTTGCGGTGTGGAGGAGAAGGATTTCAGTATCCTGAGGATAGAAGCACGGAACGGTGTCAGAGGTCACTGGTTGACCTAGGACCATAAAATCGGGTATCGATCTCTGCGTCTCGTAACGGCGCACACGCTCGTTTTACCGCGACGCGCTAGCTCCACCTGGGGCGAAACGGCGAGGGGGGTCGTACCCGCCCCCCGCCCCCTCGGCCAGCGCGTATGTAGAAAACCTATAGGACCGGGCCGTGGAGGGTTAAACTGGCCTCTGAAGGCCCAGACCGTCTAAAAGTCCCACACCGGCCTCTGATAAGTGAAAGTCAATCAGCCCAGTTGCAGTGGTCGCTGATATAAAACCTCTTAAAACGTTATAGGCCTGGCTGAGCCTAGCTGGGCCGTTCATGCTGATTTTTAAATTTTATAGGTATATTGAAAAGACTCGCTTTGCACGTTTCACGCTTGCTCGTAATGAAAAAGTTGCTGGATGCCTCTGGAATTTGCATGGGTGCCAACGGCTGCGGAGGACAGGGGAACGCGTCCATCAGTTTGAGTTTATGGACGGGAGAGTGGAGACTCCCTGAAATTTCAACCAATTTTTTTTTTGTCTCTATTTTTTTTTTACCTCTGAGCATGTTTGCGAAAACAAAGTGGCCGAAATCCGAGGAGAAATCGGATTTTGGGGGTAGGTTAGGTTTTGGATCTCTGGGACCCTGGCCCCCCCACTTTCGAAAACGTTCCTACGCCTATGCTCTAGGGAACCAACAGTTCGCATCGTACTAGCTTTAAATTATATCCATATTGTTCCCAGTACTTTGCTGAACATTGTGGTGAGTGTACATTTTTCGTTTTTTGCTTTACAAGCGTAAAATTCGTCTGGTTTTACACCACTTCATTCGCCTCCATAGCCCGGTAACGGCGCCGCGCGGCGCGGCCGGCCGGCGCCCGCTGTAGTTCCAAACACTGCCCGATAGATGGCAGGCGCAGAAGTGGTCCCAGCCGTCCCGGTACGAACAATGGCGATTGTTTTGTGGAAACTGAGTGTTGCAAGTGTTCAATATGCAACCGCACAACGACGGAATTGTCATATTTTGTTATCATTGCATTCAGTTTTATTTTAATGACAGACATGAATCTGCGTTTCAGACACAACGACTTTCCGTGGAACCTGCGCAACTTTGTGCACAACGAGGTGGACGCTTTCAACTTCAGCGCGGACCTGCGGCAGGTGGCGCCGTGGAACCTGAGTCGCTGGTCACATACGGACCTGCCGCGGCTGCGACAGGGACGGGTCGGGGCGCAGGTCAGTGATACCACGCTATGGAACGGGTCAGTGATTTGGCACTGTGACGCATCATAAGCGTACTAGAGATGGTCCAAGCTCACATAAAACTATCTCAAGCCGATGGTCAGGTCAGTGCAGCGGAGTGACATTCTAAATGACCCAAAAATATTAGTTAGAACGGTCGTTCTATTGATATTTTCGGTGCGGAGGAGTGTGTAGGGCAATCATGTAATCACTTAGTGTAATCACAGGTCGCCGCACAGGTCAAAGTTCAGGCTGACGTTTGCACACGGTCGTTGAGCCGTAGGCGCCAGGAACACGTGACCTTTGCTGCGGCGAGCTTCCATCATCTCCACTCAAACTTGCAGACTTCTCAGCGGAGATCTAGTTGAAATTCACCTACCTCTCACAGCTGCGTCAGTTTCGTCCGCCCATTGACTTTTGCAGCCGACAGTTTGGATAACGCCGCACAAAGCTGGGAGTTCCCACGCCAACGGAGGCGGATCCGGTCTTCGGGCAAGCGTTACATGTTGCTTCTCTCTTATCTGCTCCCGAAGCCGTAGCGTTATGACCAGGATGGCTAGGGGTAGCTCAGTAGAAATGACAAGCGATTGAAGTTCATACATAGGAGGGCTCAGATCTGTAAGGGCAGCGCCAGTAACCGTTTCCGACCTCAGAGAAAAGTCACAGCTAGGCGGATGCTGCAGAGCGGCAGTGCTGGCTCAGATAAATGTTTTCGCTGTCATACTTTATGAAACAGACTTTAGAGCATCCGCCCTCGAGCTATGAAAGACTCAATTCATTTCCGAAATCGCACCAGAAGCAACAAGTAACCAAACACTTTGCTGATGAAATAGATGCCACAGAGGCATTGAGCTGTTCTGAAAAGCGATGTGAATCTCTATCAATGTCCCAGTTCTGAGTAAATATTTTTTTTATAAATTTAGTTCGAATGTTTGAATGGACGGATTGACAGAGCCGGAGCCCACGCTGAGCAGAGCTTGTTGCGTAGACCCCGACCCCTACCGTCCGATCGCGTAATTCCGGGTATCGGGAGAATTTAGATGCCAAAGTTTAACGTGCCCTTCAAAGCCGGACACGGCCTGTCCCACTCAACTGACTTCAACTGGCTGCGGCTGCTCCCACCAACCGCAGACCATCCCCGTCAGGAGTCTCAAATATCGAGCGCCGGAGCGTCTCGAACCCGGGCTCTCACTACCGGGAGTCCAATGCTCTACCAACTGAGCTACGGGATAGGCTAAATTTGAGTGAGCTCTTTTAAAAAAACTTCAGAATCATCACCAGTGCTGATGAGTCTTACACAGATGTTTGAAATATCCGAGTATCAATCAACTATACATATTCGTATTTGTATTTGTTATGTGTTCCTGCTTACTATCTCATCATGCTTAGTCATGTTAGATCTTAAAAAAATAGCAATGGATACCAGCATGCTGACAAAATATGGTTAGGTCTGGGGTATCTACCTAGGCAGAACAATTTTTAATTGGCAATATGCGTGCCAAAAAAATGTTATATTGAAAATAAGTACGTACATAAAGAGAAACTCATCACATATGGCATGCATCCTAGAATCACTCTCGTCTATAACTTCGCCGTGAAGTAATCTCTAAAGAAAGATCAATGATCTGATCCCGGAATAAGCCCCCAGAGGCCCCAGACGACCTTCCCGCACCTTCTCTGGTCACCAGTCACTGGTGCATGTTTTTCCTTCCGCGGGGTGCCCCCGGTCTCCGCGGCCACCCGGAGAGCTACAGAGACAAATGTGGCGGCCGGTGAGCTGGCCGGCGGTGGCCGATCGTCGTGGCGACAGCCGCGCCGCGGTAAATCTCACCTCGGAGCGCCGCCGCGACATCCATCTTCCCAGGGTGACACCTCGCCACTCGAGTCGCTCCACCGACCGCGTCCGACGGTGGAGAGCATGCACTGTGGGCAGAGTGAACCCAGTGTCACCGAACGGACGGACGGACGGATGGACAGACTGACGGAGGGACGGACGGACAGACTGACGGACGGTCAGACGGATGGACGGACTGATGGATGTACGGACGGATGAACGGGCGGACGAACGGACGGACGGAGAGGCGGACGGACGGACGGACGGACGGACGGACGAACGGACGGATGGATGGACGGACGGACGGACGGACGGAATGACGGACAGACGGATGGACGGAGAGACGGACGGAAGGACGAGCTGACGAAAGTACAGTATCGAATACAAATTTGTAAAAGCACATCTGGTTGCTAGTCTCGCAAACCAACAGGCTTTCCAGCGTACCGCATCACATAATTACGAGCGAGCGAGCGCAGCGAGCGAAGCGAAGTCTTTTCAATATAACGGAAAAATCTCAGTATGAGCGGCCCGGCCCGGCCTGTAACGCTTTTGAGAGGCTTATATCTCAGCAACCGCTGGACCGATTGGCCTGCGGTCTTTTTTGCTGGGTAGCCCCATCCCTTCTACCCCGTAATTGACTACTTTTGATGCATCTCAGTGACCGTCGTGGCACGTGCCACGTGAAAAGCCAAGGGTGTTCAAACTGTTTTGCAAAAGTAGTGATTTTGATAGGCTCATATCTCAGCAGCCGCTTGGGCGATTGTCTTGCGGTAATTTTTGTAGGGTAGCTGCATCCTTTCTACCAAAGGTCGGATACTCTTGATCTATGTGAGTGACCCCCACTGCACGTGCAAAATGCAAAAAGAAGAGGTGCCAAATTTGTTCCCATTTCAATAACTCGGTAATGACTGGGGCGATTTCGCTGAAACTTGGCATACAGGTAGGCACCCACCAGGCAATGCATTCTCATGTGTTGCGGTTAGTTTGCTACTGCACGTGCACACGTGCAGGGGGCGCTTCCAGATCTCGAGAACGGCTGGGCCGATTGTGCTCAAATTTGGTATACGGTTGGAGACCGGTTAGTAGGGTGCCGTGCAAAAGTCAGTTTGGACCCCGTCTGCACGTGCGCACGTGCAGAATGCCGCTTCCAGATCTCAGGAACGGCTGGGCCGATCGCGTTCAAATTTGGCACACCGCTAGCGACTGGTTAGAAGGGTGCTTTGCACAAGCCCGTTGGAAGTACCCTCTCGCCCTTCCGCGCGTGCAGGGCTCACTATCTCGCTCGCTCGTTCTTCGCCCCAAAAGGCGTTTTACTGGTATGTACTGAACAGAGTGTAGTGTGCACTGTGCATACTATAACCATGGATACTTCATCCATGCTATAACGTACCATCTCTCTGACGCTGTACTCTCTGTTTGCCTCCAGTTTTGGGCGGCCTACGTGCCGTGCAAGAGCCAGTGGATGGACGCCGTGCCACTGAGCCTGGAGCAGATCGACGTGGTCCGCAGGCTGGTGCAGCAGTACCCGCAGTACCTGACATTCGCCACCAGCGCACAGGGTGAGAAACAAACGAACCGCGCCACAGCAGGGTGGGTCCGCGTCCCTTCTAAGTTCCAGTGGCCCATCATTGCACAGTGCATACAAAATACACATGTTCAAAGACCGAGCGACCAGCACGCGAGAGCCCACGTCCGATCTAGTGACAAATTCACGGCTTTTTCTGCAAAAGGAGATCCATAAACCATCCAGTGTCCGATTCATATGTTTTCAGTAACGAATCCATTGAAGAAGTTTGGTAAAACAATGTGTATCAAGTTCTTAGTGTGCCCGGTTTATTCTAGTGCGTTACCAATATTGTTTAGAGTGATATCTTGGGTGTCTTCGCCCCCCCCCCCCCCAATTTCTGAATCAAGTGGCGTGGCTGTGGCGCAGCAGCGGACCAACCTCGGCCCTCGGCCGAGGTTGCCGAGGCTGACTGACGGCGCTCGGAACCTCGGCCCGTCCAGTAATCAAATACTGTCGCTAGGTGGCAGCACCGTAAGACGCCTGAAGTTACACTGTACCGCACGACTTGGAGCAGGCGCCTGAAGTTACACTGTACCGCACGACTTGGCGCAGGCGCCTGAAGTTTTATACCGTGCCGCAAGACTTGGAGCAGGCGCCTGAAATTATACTGCACCGCACAGCTCGAAGGAATCCCATATACGTTTGCATGGTGCGCGCCGCAAGGCAATATAAGTGGAAGATACTCGAGAAGAGAACAGCGTAGATACTAAGAAGTTTGCTTTGACTGAAGATTATATTATGGTTTGAATACAATTTCGTTGACATGAGAAGTATCATACGACATACGAATAAATTGTGTGATATTGAACTAATTTTAACAATTTCTTTGGGAGCCGGAATTTGAGTATTCGATGCATATCTGTTAACATCTCGTTCATGATTCACAATATTTTGTCATCATGCATTGCCTTTTTGGTCTGCTTCAGTGCCATAAAAGGCTGAATCCATTTTGGCCAATTTCGGCTAAACGCACGTTTTGATCTGGTAGGTGGAATAGCAGCACATTACAGCTTTGAACAATATCAAATGCATACCTTTTCAAATGTAGCTTTTAGGCGATCAGCATAAAACCGACTGAAAACGCATGAAAAGACGAGTAGAGGTTATGCCATCTGTGACAAATGGCCGGCTTACTCGACGCATCCATTTTATTCGCTGACACCTGTGAGACAATCTCAGCTCTGTCAGGGCTGTCCGCCATCCGATCTGGATTTATGACTGGCCTCTCTCCCCCGAGGGTCCACCTGAGACCATCTATCGCCGCCGGGCACAGAGCACGTGTCCCCTCCGGCCAATCCATCCCGGAGAGCCGATAAAACCGGCCACATAGCGCCACACAGTCGCAGCCGATCCGAAAACTCGCCATCGAAACGACCAGCCAGCTTCGGGGAATCGGACAGCACAAACCGGGGGGGGGGGGGCGACAAGTGGCGTGGCGGGCCACTGCGGCTAACCTGGCGCGTCGACGCCGGTTCCGCCGCGGCTGCTGATGACGTGTTAATCACTGCGCGGGAGCGTTAATGCCGCAGTTGCGCCAGAACGGTCGCCCGCCGGGACGTGGCCGGGACGTGCCGACGAGCCGTGCACCGCGCTGCAGGAATACGGATAGAGCTGTTTGCCCGCTCCGCCGAGACGTCGGGAGTCTCCCCGGCAGGGCGTCCTCACTCCTTTGGAGAAAGCTGCATTGTGGAGCACTGTCTGTCGAAACGATGCCGCCTGAAAGGAACTTTTGCTGGCGAAAAGGCTGTTTCAACTTTCATATAACTGACTTCAGCCGGAAACAACTTGTTATTTGCAAACAATAATCAAGTATCTAATGCATTTATTTACATTTGCTGAAAAGTGTAATATTGTTAGCGGTGATAACATTGATAGGTATTAAATCAGCATTTGACCGAGTGGAATTCATTGCGCCGGGAGTTGGGAACTCGTCCAGCGGGCCGCGGATCTGGCCGCACTCAGTGTAATTTAATGGGAAAAGTTTCACGCGCTGTAAGTTGGGGTGCCGCGCGCCGCCACCGCCGCCGGCGGTCCGATCTCGTCTGCCTTTGGTCGCTGACAGGAACCGCGGCGTGTAGTGTTACAAACAATAACACGAGGCAGGCGCAACAGAAAGCTGAATGCTTTCAGGGAGATTATGGTGGCGGCAATTTGTATGCAAAGCATTGTTAGGGCATGCACGCTAAAGGAAGTGGAAGATACGATTCGTTAGTTGTCTATTCAGTCTCTGTTTTTTCCTTATCCGTTATTTATTGATCGATAACACTCCTGAAGGACTGGTTCACGAGGCACCGATTAGGTGATGACACAATGGCTCTGCACTGGTCGGTGACAGAGTATCCTCCGCTACCGGGACTTCTTGAATCGCTGATCCACATTGCTTGCATTCGCTTGAGGTTCTAAACAAGATACCTATAAGAAACAGGTAGATCCGATGTTTGAAAGTAAAGCCCCAGTCACAAATTTGACGCACCTGTGACATTTCCTGACACCCAAGTGACTATTGTATTAACTTTTGTGTTTTACGATGTTTTGACCTTATTTAAAGTGGGTAGCCTGGGGCAAGACGCCCCAGATAATTTATTTTGCTTCATAACTTTTGTCCCACATCACCTGGAAGGCCAAATTTGTGCACAATGCGTTCTTTGGATATTTTACTTTAAATTCCACCCCTCAAATTCATTCACTTATGATCGAACTCCCAGCTAGGAAGTGATTTGTGAAGCGACTGCAAATGGGGCATTTTGCCCCAACCCCAGGGCAAAACGCCCCACGGCCTGGGGCAAGAAGCCCCATACTCTAGATTAAAGATTAAACATGCTAGTTGACTAAATCATATATGAAAGGCCCGTTAGACCTTGTGAGGCACGGCACTGAAGTTAGCACCTTCCATCCTGTCAGGTGTTCAGCTATGACACTATTGTATGTCCAGGTTTTTCACCCGCCTCATAAGGCCAAATAATAATTTATTGCAATTCAAATGTTAACAAAATACTTCCTTTGACATTAATTTGCTGAGCAAAGCACATAAAATTGCATAGAAACTTACTGTTCGCCAGTTACCGAACATTAGGAAGTGGGTATTCGGAACAACACATGAGGTAAAACGCCCCATGGGGCTTTTTGCCCCGCGACCTAATGGGGCGTTTTACCCCATCACGTAGTTCGGTCAGAGAACAACGCCTTGCACCCCAGCAAGACATAATTCAAAACGGACCAACCCATTATTATAAGCGTTAGACACTAGTTGTTCAAAATACATAAAAGTCGTTAACCTGATGTGGACCATAAAAGAACGCCATGATGCATAATCTGACTACAAAACATAAAAATCACTCCAAAAACAAATTTTTGGCTATATCTCCCTAAAGAGTTATCACAATTTCTTTCCAGTTTGCTCATATAATGATCATATAGTGCACGTTTTATAGAAGAGAGGATGTTTCCCCAGAACCTTGCCAGTTCCGAGAAACATCGGTGAGGCGTTTTACCTCGGCGGGGCGACTTGCCCCGGTCTACCCTACTGAAAGCTCAAAATGTATGATTAATGTTGTTTAAAGCAGAATATTAATAATTATGTTTGTAAATTATCGATAAGCTGCTTATAGAAGGTCACGTGATTGCTACCAGATTATGTGCTCAGAAAGCATCTTTTCAACTTCGATTTTGAACAATTTTTACCTCCTTTGAGGCCAAATGATGGAGGGTTTGAGGCATACGATGAAATGCTGAATCTATTGATGCCAAAATTTGTTCGTTTTTTGCATTTTTAGACTAGTATATCCTGGCTCAAACTTTGACCAGTTTGTGTGTAAACCCTATGGTGAAGGGAAAACTTCACGCCCAGCAGGCGTCATTACAGTGCTGCCAAATCGTGTTTGGTGGGGGTCGGTTCTAAATACCTCATGTGTGCGTTTGGTGCGTGTCATGTTCTTGAGCGAAACGCATCGCACAATTATCGTTTATCCTGAGCGAATGTCGTCTGTCCACTCCACAGATATTGTCGACGCCCACAAATCGGGTCGAATAGCCAGCCTTCTGGGTGTCGAAGGAGGCCATTCATTGGGCAACAGCCTGGCCGTACTGCGAACATTCTACCGCTCCGGGGTGAGGTATCTCACCCTGACGCACACCTGCGACACACCCTGGTGAGTTTCTGGTGGAGACTGGTAGCTGTCTACCGATCGTCGACCTCTGTATTACATCAGATGTGCATCTCACAGGGGGCCTGACCGTGGTCTGCATAGTAGTTACTTTTACTCGTAAGAGTCCTTTGCTTTGTTTAGGCGAATAAACATCTTTTTTAATTGTTTTTCTTTTTGCTTGCTGTTTTTAGGGAATGTAATTGCAGAGTTATTGCAAGAGTAATGAGAAAACATGAAAATGTGTGGGCGATAAGGAATAATGATACATTTTTACGGTAAATCCTACTTCAAAATTGCCAATGACAACACTCAAAACGGCTTCGGCACAGCGAGAATCGCCCACTAGCCCACAGAACTGTTCCAGCCAGGGACTGGACAGCGCCGATTTCGACAGGTTATGTTGAAGCAGTCACAGGGGCGCTTTTTATGAACTGACCACCAATAACAAAACAAAATACACTGACTAATAACCTGAAGAGTGAATGTAAGTGAATGGCTTATATGACCTGCAGCTCGTTGCGCCGCCGCTGGCGTCAACTCGACATTCCCCGCTAACCCAAGCTCACGGGACACTCCGCGACCTCTGGAAGATTTATGGCTGAGGTTAGCACCACATGAGCCTAATTAAGCTCTGTTATTCAGGGTAAGTGACCCATGAGCAGGGAGCTGAGATTCCTCAGTCGAGACCTAGTGGTGAAGCGCTGTGTCATTTGCCGCTGATGGGGAACAGCGTACCGAGAAGATACTGGATAGGGTAGGGGAGAGAGAGAGAGAGAGGGGAGAGAGGAAAGGAGAGAGAGAGAAAAGGAGAGAGAGAAAGAGGGAGAGAGAGAAAGAGAGGAGACGGAGAGGTATATGTAGGGAGAGGGAGAGAGGAGGGAAAGAGAAAGGGAAGAGAGCGAGAAATAGAGGCAGGAAGATATAATTGCCTTGCATTTTTTACAGACAAAAATCTAGATTTATTATATGATTTTGCAACCCGTATTATAACTTCTATCTTTAAAATAAGAACGAAGGAAAATATGAAAGAAAGGATTAAAAATGAAGGAAAGTTAATGCTATTGAGAACAATCGGCGTGATCACGCTCGTAATTTGAACATGCTTGCTGCAACAAATCCTGGATAGTAACTCACCGAAAATAATTAGTAGGATAACGATGAGGAAAAAGATATGTTCCAAAAAGAATACAGCATGCAAAATGCCAAATGAAAACTCATGAAGGATAAGGATGGAAACGGCAAAGACTACGATACATTTCATGCAAGATATGGGCCATTGTTGAAAGGTAATTTCTGCTAATTTTATATCTTAGTAACCCTGGTATGTCAGCCGTGATAATTTTCTAAATATAGAGTCGCTGTTTGAACGTATTCAGCGATCTATCATACCAATTATCTCGTCCAGCAATAGGGCGGGATGTGGTCTCCACCCATGGCGCGGCTGTGGCCGCCATGGGCGGGCGATCTGTCCGGTGGTCGCCTCTATTGTCGGGGCTGGCCGGGAACTAATGAGCCCGGACCGCCAGCAACAGTGGCCCGCGGCCGGTGTGGTCCGCCGGGGGCTGTGGCAGCTCGGCGCAGTGCTGGGAGCTGCGGCAGCTCGACAGTGGCTGCGGCAGCGCCGGTACACCAGCTCAGGTGGCCGGCTGGCAGCGCCGGTACGCCAGCTCAGGTGGCCGGCTGGCAGCGCCAGTACGCCAGCTCAGGTGGCCGGCTGGCAGCGCCGGTACGCCAGCTCAGGTAGCCGGCTGGCAGCGCCGGTACGCCAGCTCAGGTAGCCGGCTGGCAGCGCCGGTACGCCAGCTCAGGTAGCCGGCTGGCAGCGCCGGTACGCCAGCTCAGGTAGCCGGCTGGCAGCGCCGGTACGCCAGCTCAGGTAGCCGGCTGGCAGCGCCGGTACCCGTCGGTGTGGGCGCTGCCGGCCGTGGGATTGTCCTATTGATCGGGCCAGTGCAGCGGGTCGGGTCGGGTCGGACCCGGCGGCCGCCGACCGTTCCGCGCTGCGCGGCCACGCAGCTCCGTTCAGCACGCCACTTAGAGAGCAGCCGGCGCACCAGAACTATTTACACAGCGCTGTTCTGCAGTCATTTACGCCGTGCCCGGAGTTGGGTAGCATAGCACACAGAGAGCTAAATGTGCTACAGTACCAAGGATTACAATGGGATTATCGTGGGTAATGCGATTAACCACTGCCGACAGAACCAAGCTAAAGTTTTTATCTAATGGCGACGCACTTCCGTTTATTTGTCCGATGATGCATATTTGCTAGTGAAATAAAACGTTCAAGGTATGAAAAAGGATTGGTATGTACATTGTACATTTAGTAAGCTGGGAAGTGCATGTAATGCCATAATTGTAGTTTTGCTCTGAAGACCCGCTCCGCTATCATCCCTCGTCTTGAATAAAAATTCATAGACGATAAGATGCAGTCATCAATCGTGCCATCGCTAACTGCCAACACCACTATTGATCTTTAAGGGCGAGCTTTTACGAAGTTGTTAATAACGTGGGCACTTTAAGCCATCCGTCAAGCATCATACGTATTGTTAAAAAAAAAAAAACACAAGCATTTAACATGCCTTTTTGGCATTCAAGTGTAAATACATGACACACGCCTAATTCATGCTCTAAACAACTATACAAGCTAGCATTTTACCCTTTGGCCATTGGCGATGGACCAGCGAGGGTAATAGTGGGTACTAAATGGCGACTGAAAGGGCGCACCTACATAGGTACGAGCAAAGTGAGACTCCAACCGAATTCGGTATAGTTAATCTGTCCAACAATCTGCCCCATTCCGTCACACTGCAGCTTTGAATGACTATGTGAGTGCAATTTAAATAGTAAATTAGGTCCCAACCTAGCAACATAAGAGTTGCAATTGCTTCTCAAACTTCCATTTCTTCCTTTTCAGGGCAACTTCGGCTTCTGGAGAAGCTTCCAAACAAGGCATCAGCAGAGGGCTGAACGACTTCGGCAAGGTACAAAGTTAGATACAAGCTAGCTTTACAAGTTAGTTATACATTTAGGCATAGCATTGTTCCCCTTCTAATTCCAGCCGCTCATCCATCGAAAACCTCGTCTTTCGTTTAGTAGCACCTTCCTTCGAATCCTCCTTGAAAACATCTTCCGTCCTTCAAATGGCTTTTATCGCCTGTGATTTTCTCCGATGGGCAAATGTTGACTTATCGTCTGCGAACAACACACAATGGCATCGTTCAGCAGTCTGGCACTTCCCACAACACAGTGAAGGCGAAGTGCTGAACCAGTGTCGATTGTATCTTGTCTTCTTTCGTGAGAAATTTCGTCAGTGAAAGCTGTTGTCTAAAAAAGAACAGCATCATCTGTTGGACATATTTTATTAACTAAAACTAGGTAGCGTTTTTCTTTTCCTGATGGCTTCTCCTATGCTTGCATATTGCATAATCTTCCATCATTCACATTTCATTTGTCACCATTATTATGAGCACAAACTTTCAACTTTGAGTCTTTGAATGTAAAGCCGATGTAACAGATACTTTTCAATATATTTAAATGGTGAGTGAGTGAAATACTTCATTAGAATAGGCCCACATTATGGCAGCGGTTATTAGTCCACAACATGTAGAACATTTCGCCTCCGTCAAATGGTCTCAGCCCTCAGGTCTCAGGATTCATCTGATATTTCTAGATTCAGATTCCTTCATCGGCACTTGTTCAATATGAATGCTATACGATCCATTGTATGCCACGAGTGTGTATGTCGATTTTATATGACGATTTGTGTATGACTGCCCCCAGGCGGTGATTTTAGAGATGAACCGGCTGGGGATGATTGTCGACCTGAGTCACACCAGTCTGCGCACCACCCAGGACGCGCTGGTGGTGTCGCGCGCGCCCGTCATCTTCTCACACTCCTCCGCGCAGGCGCTGTGCAACACATCGCGCAATGTACCAGACCATATTCTGGAACAGGTGGTGAGTGACCCGGAGGCTGGGGTATAGGTGGGGAGTGGGCCGGGGGCTGGGGTATAGGTGGTGAGTGACCCGGGGGATGGGGTAGGTAGCGAGGGATACTGCCCGGCGTGAAGACACGCCACTTCATGGATAAAGTCGGAGCAAGTTCGAAAAACATGGATGAACAATTAGAGTATCTGACTCTCAGGGCGTTGTTGGTCAGCAGAGATTCAGCGGGAGATTCGGTGAACAACGAGATTCTCGAGACTGTTTAGGGGGATAAGTTACGCGGTGCTCTCATTGAAGTATTAGATCAACTCTTGTCACTCCATTTAGCGTCATGTCCTATGATGCAGCAATGCAGCCTTCCTTGGATAGCGGCACCGATAGACACTAGAGGTCTACCGATCGCTGAAGTGTCCGGAGCGATGGATGTCCTCGTTCATCCATCTAAAAGACAAGACGGCAGACACGGACCGCCACAAGCTACAAGGCGCTGCTAAGTCTTGGCAATGTCCAACATCTAGTCATTTGCTAACAAGGCACCGACAAAATCCGAACAAATTATCAACAGAAGCCCTAAATTCGGGCAGTTGCAAGAATCGCTCTCTAATGAAATGGATGCTAGTAAATCGCGCTTTCAGGAAGAACGCTCCCAGTGATGCGATTCATTCATTCATCATTATGATGATTCATTCATTCATTCATTATGTTATGGTTAGTCTGTCTGTCTGTCTGTCTGTCTGTCTGCCTGTTTGTCATTTTGTCTCGCCAGTATTCGGAACACAATGTTCTCACAATTATTGGCAATTCTTTTAAAAACAATATTTGGCCTGTACCTACTTACCTATACCTACTACTAGCTTTCGCAAGCTCCATGAATTACTTCAATATTTTGGAAGTGGGGGAGCGGAATACATTAAAAATCAAATATTATCAAACACATTTATATTTTTATTACATTTCAATATTTCAGCTGAAGATAGCCCTACTCAGTTCATGATTTACACAAGAGAAGACAATGAAATATGCCAATAAATAATCCAGTAAATAAGCGGACACTAATTTATGGTCTACTGTTCAGCAGAGGGCTATTACGTCGCAACTGAGGCAACACAAAAGACTCCACTGGACTGACCAAAGTTCGCTGTGATGATACAGACAACCCGTTAAACCAGCTCGGCAGAAAATTGCCCACTTAATAGTGTGTGATAAACCACACCATGGTGCCACCCTTTCTGTCGTATAACGCCAAAGTACCTCGAGTTGTGGTGACAATAAAGAGCCCCAGGGCGGCGAGCGGTCTCGATAGCACTCCTGTGTGGTTTGGTGAGCCGGGACGACACGCAGGAGACGCATTGGGAGTGGGTGGGCACAATACGGTGTTTAGGAAGAGCGCTAGTTTGTTTTGTTGGGTTAGGCCCTTTCGGTCGACAAGACCATTGCAGAGCCGGAAGGATGGTAGGAATTAGGGGGAGACATTGGTCTGGGCAGGCACCCTAGTGAGTCGCCGGGGCTGAACCCGTCCAAAAGGACAGGCCACCCAGCCCCAAGGCACTCACTGCACCCGGCTACGGGGTGCGCTCCCTCAGGAGCAGCGGTGCCGCTCCAAGGGAGCAGCCCGCATGAGATAAAGTTGCCTGTCCAGCCCGGAGGGGGGTTGCGGCGTGGAGGAGAAGGATTTCAGTATCCTGAGGATAGAAGCACGGATAGGTGAAGAGCGCTAGAACCGCAGGTAGAGGGCTTTACTGCTGTTGACGACGTTTGGCGATATTTTCAGGCTCTGAAAGGTGGCATGGTGATGGTGAATTTCTACTCTGAGTTTATCACCTGCAACACCAGTGCAAAACTCACGGACGTTATAGGTAAGTCTGAGCCTCTGAGAAAGACCTGTCAATCTTATACAAGTTTTCTTAAATGCAGCCGAGAGGGATATTTGTCATCCTTTTTGGTCAGCATTTGATCATCGTATACATTCAAGCAAAGCCCATTATAACCATTAGTTGGGCTACATAGTGACACATATGTACATAATCACCATTCACCATTGATGCTTATGTGAGCAATCAGCATCTCACTCAAAACCGGCCCTAAACACGCATAACTTTATCCTGTTCAGCTTCTTCAGCTCAACAGAACCAGAGCATTTAGCTAGGTCTTAGCAGCACACACTGCTTGCATTTCTCAGTTTGCGAAAGACAGCTGTTTCCCTGTGTATTTTCCTGAAAGCCTTCACGTCAACTCTACCCGCCCCCGGTCCGGCGGCACCAACCAGAAACGGCAGGAAAGCGAAGCAGCGTCGATGTTTGAAATGGTACCCCGTCGAGCCACTTGAGCTAGTCACTCGGCGCGTCTCGCCGAGTCACGCGCAAAGTCGCCATCGATGGCCGATAAAAGGCCCTCTCGAGACGACGAGCCCCGCAGATGGATCTCTGAAGACGCGCCTTTGGCGGCGCCCCGCCCCTCCTCCTCCCCCTCTCCGCCCCGCCGCTGTCGCTCTCTGGCGGTATATCGATTGGTCTGAGCCGAGTACCGGGGCCGGCACTGGGTCGGGATGGGGTCGAAATGGGGCCGGGATGGGGTCGGAATGGGGCCGGGATGGGGTTTTGTTGGCGCCGGGATGGGGTCTTGTTGGCGCCGGGACTGGGTCAGCATTGGATCGAGATGATGCTGTACTTGATCGAAATGGGGCAAAGATGCAAGATTGAAGGGCAAGTGAGGGCAATATTGGATTGGGCTAGAATAAAAAAGAGCCCCGGGATGAGGACTGGCCTGAAACACAACGGAAGCGAGATTAGTTCAAAGTCGGAAAAGGTCAATGTTTCAATGGACTGCAAGGACACGAGCCTTTCAGGGCCTATGATCGGGAGTCAAGACAGGGTGATTATAAATACCCAGACATTCAAAGCTAGAAGACATGTTGCAGCATTCCCAAAAATATGCCCATAGTCCATACAGAGTTAGGTGGGGCGAGGCGTTCGGTGCGCACGGAGATTGATCGGGGATATGGCGACATTAGCAAAGGTCAACGGAGGCCGGAGTGGGTGTGGGAAAAGGAGTGGGAACCCGGACAGGGATTTGAGGGAGGATATACCCTGAGGCCAGAGGAAGGAGGAAGGAGTGGAAACCGGAACATAAAGTCTAGGCCCTGGGGGCTGGGGAGGAAGTGAGTGAGGTTCCGGGACAGCAAGTCGGTCAAAGGAGGGAGTGAGGCCCTGGGCAGTGAGCGCGGACCGGGCAGGGTCGGACTGAGACGGTTCAGCCGCGTTCCTCGCGCCCCGTCGAGCAGCGATCCGATGACCGTTCGTCAACTGAGTCATCAATGGCTCGGGATCACCCCGCCCCCAGTATTGGACCGTAACGAAACCAACGCGCCGGTCAATCAGAATGGCGCAGAGGATATGTGATTTCTCTTCAAAGCAGTGAAGTACCGACGTCTCTCACGTCTCTCATATCTCCTTCCCACATCAGTGTGACGCCAATTTTCTGTTCCTGTTCACCACAACCCTTGACCCTCTAAGTAGCGAGTTTGTTTCCCCTCCTCACACACCAGTGTGACACTGACCTCTGTTCACAGCGGGCCGAGTGTGACACTGACCTCTGTTCACAGCGGGCCGCGTTCCGAGTGTGACACTGACCTCTGTTTACACCGGACCGTGTTCCGAGTGTGACACTGACCTCTGTTCACAGCGCACCTGAACCACATCCGGTCCGTGGCCGGGATCGACCACGTCGGACTGGGAGCCGGCTACGACGGCATCAACTGGTAAGACGTGCTGACGAACTGATCTATTCATCAACTGGTAAGACGTGCTGACGAACTGATCTGTTCATCAACTGGTAAGACGTGCTGACGAACTGATCTAGTCATCAACTGGTAACTCGTGCTGGCGAACCGACCTATTCATCAACTGGCAAGGGGTGTTGTTGACAAACTGAACTATTTATCAAGTCAACTGGTAGGGATGGCTGGCAATCAACTGGTGTTGGCTGGCAGCTCAGCGCTGACCATTCCATCAACTGGCAAGGGGATGAAAACCTGAACCCAAAACCAACTGAGCTACCAGAATAGCTGAACGTTTGTGATAATTTTGCAGGTGACTGTTAAAAACACGCCATTTATTCTACATTGTATGATGTAAATATACGGGAAGTTGTATCACGGGTGTAATATGTGAAAACCGTAATCACCAGAGATCGAAATTGTCATATATGAGTCAATATAAAAATAGTAATAAGAAATGCATGGCAGTCACAGATTTGATTCAGCTAGCATTCGCTGTCGCTCCTCGACCAGTCCTGCCTAGTTTTTCGAGGGCCAGCATTTATCTGCGATAACAGTGATAAAGTTCATCCAGTTGGATGCTAGTTCTGTCGTCATAAAAATGTCCAGAAGCTCCAGCAAAACAATGATGAACCGCTAAACACATTTCACCAATTCGTCGGGCGGTCTCTTTCAACAGCCGTTGCAACATTTCCAATCCACTCGACGCTTTAGTAAAGCAAACATTGCCGATATGAGAGACACATAGGATTTGTTTTCGGACACAACATTGCACTTATTCAGCCGGAGGAAGCTGAAACGATGGGCGCCGACGGCCGTGGACGGTCCCGGATCCAGTTCAGACATAACAGCTGGCCGTTCCCAGTCATCCAGCTCACATTACAGCGCTCCTCACAACTGACTGACTGCCGTCCGAGTGGCTTTTCCACGAGAATTTCGACTGGCTCCATTTTGGCTCACCAGTCAGGAAGGGTTGATGTTCAACAGAAATGGATATGACCGATAACGGCCATGTCGGCAAGTCCAAAACGCAGCATGATCTTCTCAGATGTACTGGTGAGGAGAGACAGCGACCGATTTACGTGTCATGATCACCTTAATTGTGCTTGTCTCATCTTGTTATGATCTGAGACAGCCACCCGATCTGTTTGCAGGACTCCGGAGGGCCTGGAGGACGTGTCCCGCTACCCCTACCTGTTTGCTGAGCTGGTCAAAGACGACTCGTGGAGTGAGGAAGACCTGAAAAAGCTGGCTGGCCAAAACTTCCTCCGAGTCTTCAGAACAGTAGAACAGGTATGCATATAAAAGCTACTCGTCCCTAGCAATGGTGAGGCCGTTCTAGGCTATCCGGTTGAAAAATAGGTGTTTAAATGATTGAAAAGTCTCAATTTGAGAAGTGTATCAGATTTTACCCGAGACAGGACCCTTACCACGAAAAGCACAACAGTGATCTACTTATTTGAGCATTTAAGATGGAATGTAGGATCATGTTAAAAAGAAACAGCTTAGAGTTCTTTTCCTCAGTTATTAGCTAATGAGTTTCCCAAACGATTCAAAACAACATTTCAGCCATATTAATTAAATGCTCACGGGAAGGCATAACATGATTATACTCCTCTGATACCGGTAGAGAACTAGCAACAGCTCCTTCTGCAGCTTTCTAAAACGGTCTCTTTCCGTGGATGTGAAAAGGATGTTATCTCTCTGTTTCCTAGAATGGTTCCCTTGTGAACGAACATCACCATTAACTTAAAAGGTACATAATCCTCTCTTTTCCTCTCTCTCTCTCTCTCTCTCTCTCTCTCTCTCTCTCTCTCTCTCTCTCTCTCTCTTCTCTATCTCTCCCTCTCTCTATCTCTCCATCTTCCCTCTCCCTGTATCTTTCTCTCTGTTTTTATTCTCCCCTGTGAATGCCCAAACAATAAACGTCCTCCGTTATCAGCGACTGTCTAAACGCTATGAGTTGGATTAGATCGGGACTCGGGAGAGAGTAGGGGAGGATGTCTTCTATTTGAGCGACCCTTTTCATACTGGCGTTATCAGACATGTTCCTTATTTTTATTATAACTTTTCCAAGGTACCTCAAGACACGAAGCGCCGTTAGATTTCGGCTATAATTATAGCGTGCATGAAATTGCAATAGACAGAGAGAGGAGAGACGGATTATTTATCTCTGACGACACACTTCTTTTTGGCAGGTCAGTCGACAGATGGCGGTAGAGAAGGTTCGGCCGCGCCAGGACCGGGTCGACCCTCTGAAGCTGATCTACACCAGCGCCGCGCGGTGCAGCTGGGAACTCTCAGAGGCACTCAACAAACAGCAGTCATCGCAGCCCAACAGCGAGAGGGGCGAGCTGACGCGGTAGGACGGCCGTGACGTCATCAGACTGTGACGTCACTGCTGGTGGCGTCACCCCAAACCCTGCTCAGTTGGCGCCTCGCCAAGCTACTGTTGTGTCCGTGTTTTACGAGAGGAGCGAGGGAGACTGCTTTATAACCCAAAGTGGATGTATTATTGAGGAACGATGTGGAGAACGATTGTCGATTTTTTCGAGATGGTTTGGACTTTGGTCCACGGTGTGAACGCGAGTGGTTAGGTAGATATCGACAAATGATGCGTGAATTCTGAGCCTACGTCATGACGGATGCATGTCTGTTTGCTTATGAGCCTGATCACTCCTGTTTCCTAAATGACAAAAAGTTCATAAAACCTTTTTTTTTTTGCTCCGCCAGCCTAAAGCCAGTCTGGAGCCGGAGGTCATTACATCTGGCAATTTTGGCCAGGAACAAAGTTTTACGTTAAGCCGGTTTATGTGAACCCGGAAGCAATAGCAACGTGGGAGTCTATCCTTAGCGTGTGTGAGCAAATCTAATGGGGGAACTTACTTTTGCCGAAGTGCCGAAAAGGCCGGAACAAAAAACATAGATGAAGAAACGGTAACATTTATTTACATCACATATTCATACACTTGTGTAGACTTTCTATTGGGGCTAATTCCCTGTGTACTGCGCATGCGCTGGTACCGTAAAACCGCCGGAGGCTGAAAGATAAGCCCGGGCGGCACGCGCGCTGATGAGGCCAATTTGCCGGCCGGTGGCTCGGCGCTCTCAGCAGCGGGTCCGTCGGATTCGGCCGTGTGTCACTGTCGAGCAGCGGTATGTGGACAGAAATTTCCAGGAGGCATCCGCTGAACACATGGTGCGGAAACTCGGACTTCATTAGGTGTGCATGCTGAAATCCGTGACGGGTCATGGAGAGGGATGACTTCCGTTGTACAGCATAGCTAAACCTGGAAGATGATGCCGGATATTGCTTACCCAACCCACGTCAATATTAAATTTCATTAGCATAGCACTGCATCCCCCTTTAACCTGTAATTACCGCACTGACCCAACTGAAACTGGACAAAACTACGCCCTTCCACAATTCAGGCTGAGTTTCAGCATAACGAACGGTGCGGCTGGGTTAAGAAATTCGAGTTTCAATCACACTGCAAACGCTGAAAGTTCTCATTCTTTGCGACGCTAGCGGACCAATCTACAGAAAACTAAGCGACAATTAACTATCGACGCTCATTATCCGCGCTAACTTTTCATTGTTCAACATAGTTACAAGTTGGCCGCTCTGGCCCCAGCTCGCTCTCCGGAGCAGCTCTCAGAACATGCCGAGTCGACCAACTTCTCCGGGGCTGCTCCGTCGCCACGGTCACCGCCCGGAGGGCACATTCGACGAATTGATTCGTCAGCCTGTCGCCGGTTTCATTGCCCCATTCGGGCTCGGACCGACGGGAATGTCCTGCCGAGCTGACCTGCGACATTTTCCACGACAGCAGGAGGCAGGCGTGTCGTACAGGGAAAACCCGCCCACCCGTCGACCCGTCGGCCCATCGGCCCGCCTGCCCATCGGCCCGTCGGTCCGTCGGTCCGTCGGTCTGTCCAATGGTCGGTCCATCGGTGATTGTTGTGGGGAGCTGAGCTGAGCTGCAGATCTGCTGCTGGGGAGAATGCAGTTCAAATATCTCCTAGCTATGCTCGCCTGAATTGGGTCGGGTTTGTGATGTGAGTTATCCGGAATAAGCCAGCAGCTTATCCATGCAAGTTCATGTATCTGGGTCTAAATGGTCGAAACATTGATGAATCGTGGCTCTTCACCAGCACGCTGACCGCTGGGCCATGCTTCGGATCTCCTATAGTCCCATCGTCAGCTTGCTGGATAGCGAGCTGAGCTTGAGCTTCTGCAGCTCTTTTTGCGCTCTGCAAGGGGCTTAGCAAGCTCCGTCTTCTTTTAGGCTTCGCTCAGTCTTGTCACGCCTGAGCTTGCCGCCGCCTCACTCCGCGTGACGAGGGAGTTGTGGTGGCTACGCTGATCATCTCATCTCTCCTGTCCGCCATATTGCCACTGTTAGCTGTGGAAGGTTCAGTTCAGACGTATTCAGTCAAATTTGTCACATCGAGATGAACTGGATCAGTGAAGTATTTGGCGAGCAAACTCCAGCTCAGCATGTATGTTTATGTTTCAGTTTGACGTTATTTTTAAGTAAAAAAGGCAAAACAACCAAGACAATGGTAAAAAAAAAAAAATACCAATGAAAACTTCTCCTACCTTTCATGAGTGAACGGAAAGAGCTCAGGTCCAATCTAAACCCACTATTCCTTACGTTTCCATAGGTCTAGCAGGGAAGTAGACGCTACTCTGTGTGCACTTCATGGACAGTGTTGCATAGTTCCATAACCACTGTTGGCCGTGACACTTTCCAAATGATCGTAAATTGAGCTTTTCGTTGTCATGTATGTGAAGCTAACGAAGTGTATGAAGTGTGTAAATCATGTGCGTAAAGTGTGTGTGTGAAAATGTGTGTCGAGTCGAGAGTCATTGCTGGGCTAATAGTTGATTGTTCCGATTGTTCCGTACCTTGGCCAGGTGCGGCAATTTCTGAGCGGTGTGCTGGCTTTTGCTGTTAGACCGCACCCAGCCCTGGCGATGTTGACGAATATTTATCGATGTTGAATGTTGTGCTTCGTGTTTTGTTTTTGTGCGACGCTGTGGGTGTACTAAGCCGATTCAGAAGGTCTATGTTGATGCATTGTAGGCGCGTGTGGATGTTTCCTGATGTGTATGAGGTGTGGGTGCAGGTCTCATGGGCATCCCAGTCTTTCATGCGTTTGTTAAGGCCGCATTTTATGCGTCTATTTTTACAATGCTGTCAGATGTCGAAGTATTTTGTATATGAAAAGAATACAGATAGACAAGTGACCGTTGGTTTTATTATTGTAACACACGACAGCCAGGAGGTAGCGCAGATTCGTGTAGCTATAATAGTTCGATAATTTTCGAATTTCCTTCCAATTAGAAGTAGACAGTAAGATACACGAAAAGCCAAAAAGAATACACATTTGCACCAATTCACCGCGGTGACAGCGGTCATCTTTAACACTGAATTGCGGCCGAAGAAATAGACAGACGGTAAGATACACGAAAAGCAAAAAAGAATACACATTTGCTTGGCTACACAGATGAAAAGTACAAGAAGTTACACGAGCAGGGAATAGTAGGCAAGTAGGCACACTGATCTATGACGTTTCACGTACTTATTACGCTCAACAACGCATCAGGTTTGAGAAACACTCAATATTTCGGTGACAAGCTTTTCTTGGGGGCTAGGCTAGTTTATCATAAATGTGTTTCAGTTTTATGCATTAGTTTTCTTAAGCTATTCTCAATAAAATTCGAAGAATATCGGATCGACTTAAAGTTGAGATACCTATTGTGGAAAGGTTTGGCGCTATTTAGGTATTGCAATTAATCGATTGCGCACATTCCCCTCACACATTCTTATGATCAAATAAGAAAGAAATGTATAATTCATGTTCTTACATACGGGGCATTCCATGTCAACCGGGACAGCCAAAATCGGTCACCTCTGCGATTTTGTTCAATGTTGGTATACTTATTCGCTAATGGGTAAAACCTCTGAGGGTGAAAGGATTTTGTCATATGCCCTCGGGCTACAGAGATACAAGTCGCTTAACTTCTGCTTTTTGAGCAGAATTGGACGTGTATTGCAATCTTGAAAGATCTATAGCTTCAACATTTTTGAAGCTATTGATTTCAAACAAACTGAAACGGGTACATAAGGAGTTATGCTAGTAAAATTTGACAATTTTTACATTTTTTGGTGATTTTGAATTTATTTTATTTTGAATTAATTTCTTAAAATGTAATTTGTGAAAAATGGGTACCCTTCGATTTCGCTCAAATTTAGATATTGTCTTCCACTACACGTAAGGCACACGTGCTGAGAAAATTAGAGTGGGCCAACGATAACTTTGGATGATATAGCAACAAGTAGTGCAACGTAGCACGGGCGTTGGAAGGGGCCGATTTCGCTAACTCCACCTGTTTATCGCCAATAACTCACGCCATAATTATTATATTAGCGTCAAACTTTCAGTATCTGTCCAAATTCGAATTGCTAATCCTCCCGCGCAAGAAATAGGTAAATCGGTCCACAACTTTTCTAGTTATAGCGGTGTAAAGTCAAACATTCCTGCCGGAGCGGCTCGGCGGCCGGCGCCGGCCGTTGCCGCCTGAGTGGTAGACTGTGCCGGCGCAGGACGGTTCCATCTTTGCACCGCGCTTCTTACCGCTGATTATGATCGATTCGTGTCAAATTTTGTGTGAAGGCTTAAAAATATACAGGTAATCTAATGTTTAAATAAATACGAAAATCAACTAGTAAAATTAAACTATCAACCATTAGGGTGCAAACACAATATGCGACTATGGCATTTCCCGCGTCGGCCGATCCCCGCCTCTGCCGGCGACATCTTACTCTTAGCAAGCCACTAACTGCCAAATTTATGGTAAGATTAACCCGCGCCCCGCTGGGGGGGGGGGGGGCAGAATCTGCCCCCCTCCCGTTTTTCGCCAATAACTGCTAAACGCGTTACGCCAGCGACGTCAAACTTTCAGTACCTTATCATACATCAATTTGACACGTTCCCTGAAAATTTGAGCGAAATCCGTCTAAAATTTTTTGAGAAAATGACGTTTTAGTGACGTCATTTTCGCAATTTTCGCCTGAAAAATCGCAAAATTTCAAACGCCGCTAACATCTTCATTTTTAAAGGAATCAAGACGTAACAAAAAAGGTTATACGTGATTCTACTTTGTCTATCAAATGGCTATCTCGGTTTTTTAAAAATTTTGGATTTTGGCCCAAATTTTTTCAAAAAACCGACTTTTTTGGGAAAATAATTATAAAACCAAAATTTTGAGTATATCGAAAAAACCGGAATATATGTCAGAGAAGTGGTCTATGTGCACCTACATACCAATTTTGAAAAGAATCGGTTCAAAAATGTGGGAGTTATTCAAAATTTTATGAAGTCACGACACAAAAAAATTTTGAAAAATGAATTTTTTGGAAGTTCTAGACCTCGTACGGAAACAAAAATAGCACCATTCGACTCGCCGTGAAAAACTGCATCAGATAGACACCTTTTTAGGCCTTAACAACCAACTTCAAAATTTGACCCCACTTGACCTGACCTTGACCTGACCTTGACCTGAAATTCATCCGGAGGTGGTCCATATCGCTAATTGAGTGTGCCTATTGAATTCTATGAATAAAATGACCCATAAAACATGTGTCGCACATGCCCTTTTCTATATTTTGTTTTTGGTGACCTGACCTGACCTGACCTGACCTTGACCTTGACCTTTGAATGATATTGTATGCAACGAATATTGTCTTGGTAGCCTAAGAACACGTTTTGGGCAATCAGTCTCAGTCCATTCTTCGGCAATTACGGTGCAAGGCCGATACTGTAGAAACTTGCATTTTGTACCCTTGACCTGACCTTGACCTGACCTCTGACCTACTTAACCCGCGCCCTGGTGGGGTCTGTTTATAACGCGACCTGGTGGGGGGGGGGGCTATTTTTTGCCCCCCCCCCCTCGTATCTCCGAAACTACTGGACGGATCCGCAAAATTCAAACGGCGTTCGAAAGGCCTGTCAAATTTGTCGAGGAAAACCAAATTTCATTGACCTCGGGGTCACCAATGACGTCACAGGTCAGGTCAAAGATGAAATGTTTCACCGTTCACGGGTCTTCTAGGGAATGCGCTATAACACCGAGGAAAACGCATTTTGTCGAGAATCAGCGATAGGGCGTCAGTTGCCTAGTAGATATATTACTATTAGAGGTCACTGACAATACCAGGTCAGGTCACAGGTCAGGTCACCAAGGGTCACAGGTCAGGTCACATGAGCCCAACTTTACTAAGGTTGTGTGATGCATGTTTTATGGCCAAGTTTTCATTTCCAACTCAATGGTATTGGTTATAAGACTATCAGGTACGGCTTAGGTCACTTTCTGGTGAAGTTCAGGTCAAGGTCAGGTCAAGGTCAGGCCAAAAAAGGTCAAATTTTAAAGTTGATAGTTTTGCATAAAATGGGTATTGATTCGATGCAGCTCGTCACGGGGAGTCTAATGGTGGTCTTTGTTTTGCGCTACGGGGTCTAGAATTGCTAAAAATTGAGTTTGAAAATTTGACGTCATCAATTTTGAACAGTTTTTTCTCTATAACTTCGCCAAAAAAAGAGGTATCGATCTCAAATTTGGTATGTGGATGGAAGGCGGTAAGGACTATCACATATATTCCGGTTTTTGCGAAATTCAAAAAACTTTTTGGAATTTTCGATTATTATATGCAAAAAAATTATTTTTAGATTTTTGGGGGTCAAAATCCAAAAATTTCAAAAATCCGAGATAGCAGTTTTGTAGCCCTGTTGATTCTACAGCTTTTATGTCTTATCATTTTTCTGTATTTGCAAAGCTATAGGCCTGACAGCTCTTCCCGCGAAACCCTTTTTTGGGTCGAAAACGGCAGAACATGACGTCACTCTGACGTCATTTTCGGCCAACCTATCATAGCCTTTGGAAAAAATTTTTGGTCACAATGTGTAAAATTGATGTCCGGGAGGGTACTGAAAGTTTGGTGACAATCGGCGCAGCGGTTCTGGAGATATATCAAAAAGTCTGGAGGGGGGGCAAAAAATAGCCCCCCCACCAGGGCGCGGGTTAAGCAAAAAAATTTGAGCTCTTAAGATTCGCCTCGTTGAGAGCTTTCGATTGCCGTTTTCCCCGTCTTTCTACGACCATCGGTTCGGAAGTTAGACAGGGGGGGGCAGAATCTGCCCCCCCCAGCAGGGCGCGTATGGCTGAATAGCCCAGCGGGGCGCGGGTTAACTAGAGATTCTCATAACACTACAAATGTCGTATAAAGGAAGAAATAGGAAAATGGGCCAGTATCTCTTAGAGCTATGGGCGTATAAACGCAAAATAGTCACTATAGCAAATTTGATCACGTTTAACCTCATTTGATCTTGAATGTATTGATCTAGGGCTATGAAATTGGCACACGATAAAGTTCCCCACCGCCCCACCTACAATTCAAATTCCGTTTTTTAATACCTTATTTTGTCTAAACCGGGCTTTTCTCCCCTAGCGCTGGGAGAGTCTGGCGTATTTTCTTTTTGCAACCAAAGAGAGGCGCTGCCCGGAGAATGCCCAATTTCATCATTAAAAAACTGGCTTACGATGACCAGCTATTTTCGTGGCTTAGTAGTAAGTGTGCCGAATGTACCCACCTCGAAATCTAAAGGTTGCTGGCTCGCAGCGCGGGTCAGCCTGAGCCCTGAAGTGTTTAACACACATTTGTTTTTGTGGCATCTGGCCAGCCGGCAAAGTTGTGAGGGCTAATGTTCGGATCTAGGTAGCATTTGACTTGTCGGCAACTGCCGTGAGGGCTGTACATATTTACGCGTGTTAGATTAGGTCAGGTCACGTCAGGTCAGGTTAGGTTTGCTTTGGTTTGGGGTAGGTAGAAAAAAGCATCTCCAGGTAGCGCCTCTACTTTATTGCTAAAACGAAACACGCGAGTGCCAGACATTACGAAGTCCAAAAGACAGTTACGTAGACGTCGGCCCATTCTGGATTTTTTATATGCTAGGAGAATAAAATATGTAAAAATCAGCAAAATCGAAGGGTACCCATTTTTCAGAAAATTAAAATTTATCTTTTGAATTTTAATTTATTTCACTAATTAGTTAATTACGTCAATATTGTTATCCTCAAATTAAAGCCTGACCTATTCCCTCCATTTCACACTTTGTCTCGTGGTGATATGTCTAAAACTTCAATGGTTATGACGCTTTTAAGATGATAATGTGCCTTGCCT